AGCACAAGAGAGAAAGAAAGAGAGAGAGACCCCTGGCAAATTATTTATGAACCGAGCTCGTGGTTTTTTTTCTTCCTCCTACGATCTATACACGGCCGTCGCTCCTTTCTCGGCGCTTTCGGGATTTCTGCTCTCTCTCTCTTTTATGTACCTATAATATGTATATACGCGCACGGTCAGTTCTTCTGTACCAGCTGACGCGCACCTTCATTGTTTAGCCGAACCTGCGCGTAACGGTTCTTCCTGCCCATATAGGTATATACCCTTCGTGCGTATAGTACGTATACTTCGGGGTGTTAAAGTGTCGCGCTGAAACTCGAGTGCGTTCGGGGAGCTGGGGTATAGAGCGAGCAAAAAAATATTCATGGAAAATGAAAGTGTTTATCCGGATATGATACATATAGGCATTTGTTTCGAGGCGCCAATGCCAATGCAGCTCGAGTGATACGTATAGAGAGTCGCGATGCAAAGATATTCACACCGAGGAAAAAATCTTTGATTCGATGCAAATTTTATGTAAAATCAGACATCTGATTTGAAGTAATCGATATTGAATAATATTTAACACTCTAAACTCAAAAGAGTAATTTTCGAACCTCAAAAGAGTAAACTGCGCCATTGATGTACGTGAAGGTACTTCACGTACATTATTTTTGAGTAAAAAATGAAAGAAATTGATTTAATTCTATACTCAAATTCAATTTTTTTTATTAAAAATCATGTATTTCAATGTTAAATCATTTTTTGCATCGACCATACAAAAAATTTGAGAAAATTTAATCACAATTAATATCGGCCTTCCTCACTAGATGGCGAGTACCTATATGTCAGTAAATCTACAAGTGGCAAAGTCAAAATAATTATATAAGTCAAAGCACGGGTTTGAACAAAATCTTAGGAATGGAGATGTTTCGACCTTCTTTAAGTGTAGAAATTTTACAATAACTATATGAAATTAGTTATTTACACATCAAGGGCTGTATGCGGTGTGGATACAGTCGATGGCTTTATTAATAAATTATCACTGTCATTGCCACTATACCAAACTGCTGAAACTTGAACTTTTTTATGAGCCATGTCTTTGACACTTTTAATATTCTTCACAGTTACTGTAAACGACAGAATTGAGTTGTTGCTCCCTCGAGTGCGTTCTTGTTTAAATTAAGATAAAAGTTCATTTGAAAATTGTAAGAAAGTCAGTATTTATTTGTGTTGCGGGAATCTCCTTTCCAGAAGGTTGTCCCGTATATTTGAAATATTTCTGATATTAATAAATTAAAATAAACGGACACGATCTTTTTTGTTTATAGTGAGAAAAAACTTACGTTAATCTCGATGCGAGTCTTTTTAACGGCGACAGGCGCTCGAGCGCATCGCGCCGACGCCTCGAATTTCCGAAACCAAAGACTAATAAAATGATTATTAAAGTACCGAGCAACGATCGGCTATGAATAATTCGCTGGCGACATGGGTTCGACTTGATTTATTCATAGAGCAATAGACATATGGGCGCAATATGTACAAGAGCCCTTGCTAAGTGAGTGTGTGCACACATCGGCGAGCGCGCCGATATATATATACGTTTCTCCGCGCGCTGCAATATATAAGCACTGCGTATTCATATGATATAATGTATGTATATGCTATTTTAATGCTGACATGCAGCTCGATTGTGCATAAACACACACACACACACACACACACACACACACATACTTGTGATTGGTAATATGCAACACGAATCTGCGCGAATGTGCGCTTCTTGCAAAAATACACGCGGCTCTCTGGGTAAATTCGATTTATTCATACTTTCCGGTTGTCGAAATAATAAAATGCAAATATAATCGATTTCCATCGTATATAAGCCCCGTTATGTGTTCGGCATCGAAATATAAAGCGACATTAATTTTTGCCCGGGTGAGCTTTTTATCCACGTATTATCCGATAAAATATAACGAAAAGAATCCGCAGCGATCGGTGAAATTAAAATCCTCGCGGATACGTGCCGAGCACGGCATTTAAAAGCTTTAATGCGCTCCGGTGTGCAAATTCAATCGGGTACATAATGATACGGTATTTATAGGCCACTCTAATTTTCCCTGTCAACTTGAAAATAACTCGTGAATACTTGATCGCGACGAATTGTCAAACGCGTGACACTCCGAATTGGCCAACACACGTTGGCCATATCATATGGAAAACTCAGCTAATTCACGCCGAGAATTTTTAAGAAAACATATTACAAACCAAACGTTGTCTCAGGTAGGATACAATATAAAGAAGATCGCTCGTAAGGTAGCCTAGAAACACATAAAGAATCATCGCGACGAGATAATATATAATATAGTCGAGCATCGAGGAGAGATAACTATCAGGAGTTACGCTATCGAACATCATCTTTTTTTGTTGATGTTGTTGTTGTTGTCGTGCTCGCAAGGGTGGCGATGTATACGCGGCAGATCGCACGCATCGCGCGCTTCTCTGTACGATGGGGGGTTGCCTTTGCGCAGAGTAGCAGTAGCTATCTGTATACTATACGGCCCGCACGCACGTACATACACCCAACTCGAGCCCATATGTATGCGTGTGTGTGCGTGAGCATGTATACACTTATATAAACACGATTCCCTCGAGTGAAAGTTTCAACCCCGGAGCTGTGTGTGCACGCCCGGCCCCATGCCAAGCATACATACACCATGTATATATAGTAAACGTATATACACGTATAATATAGAGGCGCGCGCGGCACTTGCACTACTACTGCTGCCGCTGCTATATAGCAGCACTGCGCTGCGCGAATTAGATATTAATGAGAAAACCCTTGTAGCACGGCCCATAAGCCTGTAGCAGAGAGAGAGAGCGAGAGAGAGAGAGAGCAAAAGAGAGAAAGAGAGCTGCAATTGAGCGATTTCGAGCTTCGTGTATACGTACACGCCCCCGCGTGTTTTGTGTGTGTGTGTGTGTGTGTTGCGTTACGTTGCGTACATATCGTATATATGCATGCAATAAGAAAAAGCTGCGAATGAACGCGGAAGGAGCTGGCTATTTTCGCTCTCGCAGCAGCCCTTACCTTCTTTTTTTTTCGTATTGTTTGTGATTCGCGTATTTGATTTTCCGAGTGTAACTTTTTTTTTCGCCAAGACTCTTACAGTATTCGTTTTTGGATTGTAATCTGCTTTTACAGCCGAATTTCAAGCGCGAAATAGCAAGTTTTAAAACGAAAAGCGCCAAGGAAAAGCATTTCGAGAGCAAAAAATGACAGCGGAAGAATTAAAGTTCAACGACGAGCTGGCCGACTTTGACCCTTTGCCTATATTTATGTATTACAGCACGGCCCGCACACACATACCGTCTACAGTGGCAGTAGTAGTATACGCTTGCGGTTTCTGGCGCGTCTCAGCTAGCAGATGGTCTCGTCGACGATCAAGTCGGCACACGCATATTATATATTAGCATCCGAACGTAAACATATAATACGTTACGTATATGTGTGTATACACCATCGACGGCAACTATCTCTTTTATGCATTATGTACGCGTTACACGTGTATATATATAAGTACACCTTACATGTGTGCTACTACTGGATACGACGGCAAGAACAGAGAGAGAGAAGGAGATAGAGATAGAGGGAGGTAATGATGAAATATTGTTTGATATATCCAGGGGGTTCTCCTATCCATTCGTCACACGTAGCGCAGCAGCAGCAGCATCGAGAAATATAGCAAGGCTATATATGCACCGAGTGTCATTTGTTTCGCAAGTACTTTTATTTTCGAAGGCGAACTACTACTACTACTACTACATCCCCGCGCGGTATACGGACATATTAATCTTTTCTGCTTCTTTTTTTTCGAGCAAAACTCGTGAAACGCCAAGCGCGCGTATTTATGAAGAAGATTGAGTGGTGTGTATAGGTACAGCGGCAGCAAGTGCGCTTATGGTTGTTCCATACTCGTGCATGTATGGTCGCAATTGGAAAACTAATTTTCACGCCAGTTATTGTTATTAGTTAGGCGCGCGCGTGAACGACGTCTTTTTTCGCCATCGTAAACGAAGACATAATATTCAATCGTAATGTATAATTTCCCGTAGATAATTGTGGCAGTTTGTGAAAAAAAGGGTATAATTTTCTAGAATTCGTCGCGCGTGTAATAGCGCAGTTTTCCGTATACCGACCGGTTACTCGTGGAACATTACGTAGAGAGCGAGGGTGCTAAAATAAGTTAAAACGTTTTGACAAGCGTACAGAATTCGATTGTTGTGAGAGAAACCGATACCTTCGGCTCGAATTTCTCGCTGCGCGTATCAGTGCAGTCGTATAAGCACCGTAAATAACGAGAGCCAAAATGGGATATCGTATCCTTTTTTTTGTTCCATTGTCATGTGTGTTATATCATAAATATTGTATCTCGGGCCATCTGTCCGATTGACCTAATGAGTACGGAACATTTTTTTCATGACCGATCATCCCCCTTCTATTTCATCCCCTTAAGGTACAAATACGTAGACTTTTATGTTGCGATACGGCCTTGTGGTCATCACTTTTCAGCAAAACCTTGAGGCTGTTGGCCGATGTCACTCGTCGAGTGGTTTAACAATGCATACATTTTCGTAAGTACGAGTTGGCGCTCGAATTAGAATTATTAAAAGCGATACACTTCTTGAGGTTTACATTCGCGACTCATCGATCGATGACTTAATCGTTCGAACAACCGCAACGAGGCACGATAAATCTGCCCCGAATAATTGCCTCGTAACGAAACGAGTATACTCCGCAAAAATGAAACGGCAAAACTTTTGTTTACAAACACGAGTTTGTTTGTTTATTCGGTATATAGCCCTCGAGTGTGGGATTAAGATTATTCATGCATCGTCACTAATGTACACAACACAGAATTATATGTACATCGGACAGCAACAACAACGACAGAGAGAAAATGAGAGATTGGATCAATTTTGATAAGATATAAAAGACTCACAAAGAAGGGTGTCTGTACCTGGTGATGTGGCCGATTGTTTGGATGCGGACTCGGCATGTGCGCCCCGTGATGATAGACCGACACGGGGTCGTGCTTGAGCGGCATCGACGTGCCGCCGTTGTGTTTGCCTAAATCGGCCGCCAGCGCCTCGGCCCTCGACAGCAGGCCGTCTTGCAGGCCGCTGTTGAGACCGCCGAATATGTCGCCCTGTAATTAGAGAGAGCGCAAAATTATTAACTCCTCTCGTTTGACTCGGATGAATATATTAATTTCGAAATTATATGAATTATTATTATACATCTGACAGATTATTCATAAAGTTAAATGCTCAAAACATTTTTTACTCTTACTATGATAAAGCTATACTTTTTAACGAAAAATGAGGTAGTAATTGAAGGTGGTGGATGTATTATTTCATTTTATTTAGAGGGTAGAGAGATAATAAAGCATATGGAGTAGGAAAATCTTAATTAGTAAACGAGGAGGGTTCAAAGCTTTATAGCCGCGTAGCAAAAGTGGCGCCCAAATAATTTCATATTACGAAGAGATGTTATGATAAATTTTGCAAATGAATTCACATCGGTTACGCCCTTTTAAATTTAATTCAAGAATTCATTTTTACAAACGAAAGTGATTAATTCTAAAATTCAATTGAATAGGCAAAAAAAATAATATAAGCGAGTGTTTGTATGTTTATGATTTAATAGTTAAAGTGTAACGAACTGTCACCGATTAATATTTCATAGCGTCGCACGAGTGCTTCATTTATTCATAAATTTAGTGAACTGGATACACTTTTTTTTTACTACCACCTAGTTTAAATATCCATGAACTACATTTTTGGGAACAATTGTTGCAAAATAGTCGAGCAATTTTAGAAAAAAAAACTTTTACTTTCAGCATACGTTGATTTTTTCTTGCATCATTCAGCATCCTCTATTCGATCGACCATCCTTCGCGTATAATACCTTTCACGTCCTATCGCGTCGAATTTTCCCCGCAGCAATATTAATGGCACAATTAAAGCGTCCGAGATGAGTCTCACTTGTAACTCCGGAGCTGTGTAGCGAATGTTGATAAAGCATCTTCGTGGCGTATATAATCAACGCCCCTTCCTTCCTCGAAAGAGCGAGCGACGCGGTGGGGCTCGCGTTAACTGGCTAATAAATCTCGAGTTCTCGCGCCTCATTACACGCGATGCGCGAGAAACGGAAGCTATATTATATGGACTTGTTGCTGGAGCAGGTATATAATGGAGTCATTTTTCCCTGAGCATAATAGTAGGCAATCCTCTAACCCTCCGCAACGTCTCGGCGAAGCGACGGTGGCGGCGGTCGTCGTCGTCGTTGTTGTTGTTGCCACTGTGCGCCGCCTCTCTCTCTGTTGTGCGCGTTAAGGATTAGCCAATTACGATTGAATTACCGCCAGCCTCGGGGAGATTTATAGCTTCGCTTTCGTCGGGCCGGATTATCCTACTGCGGGGGTGGGCAGGGGCTGATTTCTTGATAACGTTAAGACGGCGGCCGGGGAACAGAGCGGAGTGAATAATGCTCGACATTAGGTGATAAAAATGGCCAGAAAGACAAATAAGGACGTTTAATCGCCACCGCTGATGCTGCTGTTGCTGTCGCGCTGCTCGACGATTTTTCATTATAATTTCTGTGCTGCGGGAGGAATATAACGCGCGCGCGCTGGACTCGGCACCGCTAGAATTTTAATCGCATACTAATGGGGTGTTTAGTGGTTTCGAAACGAGGGGGCTGATTTCATTATTCATTGTGCTGACAATTTGTTTGTTTTTCGCAAGCATTCGGAATTTTCATAAGCATCTTTGACTAATTGTGATGTAATGTCTTGCATGTTCAAGTGAGACTTGAACAAATTTATTAGATCGTATATATTGCTAATGGAAATTCAGAAAGACTCGAAAAAAACCTTGGTAGAAATTCTCAGCGCTAATAATGACCTAATGGCCTCAAAATATCAATTTGAAATGTTTTTAATTACATTACTATTAATTGACTTGCTTTCGGTTAATTTTCTGCGACAATTATGTTGAGCATATTTTAAATCATCTGAAAACGGTAATTTAAGTCTCGACCACTTTAAATACAATAATTTAAGCCTCCGCCACGAGATGGCGAGTAACTTCATTTTTAAATCAGCAAGTGGTAAAGTGAAAATAATGGTATAAGTCAAATCATGGTTTCGAGAAATATATACTAAAATTTTTGATAAGATTGGATAAACATAAATAAATTTATCGATCAGCAGTATACGTGACAACGAAGGCTATTCATATGGTGAATATAATAAATAAGTATCGAAACAAAACTAGTCCTAAATTGTTTGAAAATTGCTACAAGAAGATGTACAGGATAAAGAATCTCGGTTACATTTTTAAATCACGAAGATGACCTTACTAAATAAGAAGAGGAAAATGGAATATTTGCGCGTTTAAAAAGCATAAGTTTTCATCTGCCTTTTAGAATTTTACTTGTCACCGATTTTATAAAGAAAATGATAAAAAAAAGTAGTCGTACGACGCATATATTTCTGAAAACGAGGCCAATTGCTTTAACGCATATTATTTTCATCGTATTTATAACGACGAGAAAATAAACCCAATTTTAAAAACGTGACCCAATTAAGAGACGTCAATTGCACTTATTTACCATTTGCGTTGTATCAATGATTCATTCCTGAAAATATCGCGGGGGGCTCGTATCAAACCTGACAAGTTTTGTCATACGCCACGTAAGAATTATAACGTACGCTACTAAACATCGAGAAAACTCGCAAGCCATGACGACGTCCATAAGTATACCAGCAGCAACTGCATAATAATAATCGCGAATCGATCGCGAGAGGAAAATTAATTTATATCAGCTCGCGAGATGTCACAACGGGGGGAGAATTGGCAATTAACCGGACGGATTCGTATATACAGCGAGCTGTTCTCTCTGTGTTATATAGTCGCGGGACGCGGCGGGGCTCGCGCGGATTTCTTTTGTCTAGACGAGTTATAAACGGTTTCGCTTCGAAGGGAGCATTGCTCGCGGCTTTCTCCTATATATATACCGCGGTGGTACACAGTTATATATATTTTCAAAAATGGCTCGCTCGTCCGCGTCTGAATTTTCCACTCCGCGTTTATAAATGTGTTTCTGGGTACGTTACCTGTACACACGCTAAATCCGATCGTTCGAGGCGCGCGGCTCCTTCGTTAACGAATGTAAACTCGCTACGTTCGTTTTAAAAGTGCATATTATATATACGAGTTTATATTTTTTCCACAGTTATATATAAATTTATTCGCACTGGAGCTGAAAAATAACTTTAACGCGAGTATAATTTTCAATACTGCGCCGCTGGCTCGTCCGCGTGGGTTGTATAATGCGAAACGCGCGTGAGATCGTAACGATGCGCGGCGGCGGCGGCGGCCGAGCCGTTTTACGATGACTATTCGCTGTGCGGCGAGGCTCATTGGCACGTACCTTCGACATTACTATTACATCCCTTTCGCGCAAGCCTCGTGTTTTCTTAGTCAAATTTACATTTTTTCCTCGTCGTCGTCGTCGTCCTCGGTACTTTTTTACCTCGCACGAGATACATATGACATTTTTATACGTCTTGTAAATAATCAATTTTTCGCCCGAAGGCAGCCATAATCGTAAGCGCAAGCTACGCCTCGGGATAAGTATTATGTATATGCCGAGGCGCAGCTCTTCGTATCCGTTATACTCGGGAAAATGATGCACTATATCTGCGGCGGCGGCGCGTGATATCCGCTCTTTATCGTATCGAGTACATAATTCAAGCGTTATTACGAGAAAATTTCCAGCGGATATTTGCATCGTTTTTTTTTTCTCTGCTCGAGCACAAAATTTTATCGGTTCAAGATTTAGGGCCCGCTGCAGTGATTTACTTTGTGCGCCGATAAAAATATATTGCCAAACTGTGTGTACTTACGTTGTGCCTGGGCGACCAAGAATTGCACATGATCGATGCGTCTTCCAGCATCCGGCTCTGAAACAAGGAACACAGACACAGAGTAAATATTTAAATGATCTTTACCCAACGAAGCAGCATCGATGGACATTTTCCATCGCTCTTCGATCGCGACAAAAACGTATATACATAAGGACGATGGGGGATGGGACAACGAAGGTTTTCGAATTGAAAATTGATTGCTACGCTAATATTTGAAATATTAATAAACGTCGCTGCATAAGTGATGGGACGAACAATCGAATCAACCAGTTGACTATATATTTCGCAGGTAGAGAGCTAGTAGTAAACGAGAGTCGCCGCCGCCGTCGCGCGGAGCAGTCGAGCTTCAAGCTCGCAATGGGATTTGACAGAATCAGGCCAGACAGTCGCGACGAGTTTCAAATTAAATGAGTCACTTTGGGATATATTCCTCCGACCATCCGTGTACTCTATATAATACGGTTACGCAGCACAAATTCAAATACACGTGCTACGTACACGGCACACTACTTGGCGGCAAAAGCTGACATTTTTTTTTTTTTATATATATTTTATTTAAGGGCTCGAAGGTACCTCGAAATCGATTTCTCGGTATTTCTCTTTTGGGGAGAATTTTTTTTCTCACCTATCTGTAACGCACTTCTCGAAATTAAAAAAGTTCAACTGCGTCCTTGTAAAGTACAGAAGTCTTTGTGGACTATTTTCTGATAGTCTGTGGGTCAATTTACTACATGTTTGTAATATTTTTTTACTTGTTACATCTTTCAAAGAGTATCATGTGAACTACAGAATCACAAAACACTTCTTGGGATCGGCAATAGGTACAACTTCTAATTGAGGAAATTGGCTAATCATTTGCACGAGGACACAGCAGTATAGGGGTGTCTCAGACAACAATACGTATTTTGTCTGGAATATTTTGGTCTTAAAAAACATTGCTTTTCTAAAATTGGGTCGAAATTAGCGACTAATTACTTCAGTCTAGTGTTGGTCCTATAAATTAATTTGACAAGCGTACGATATCGTTGCATCGATAATTAAATTGTCTAGGAGAACTATTTTAGAGTTACAAAAACCGTACGACAGCAGACAACAACGAAAATCGCCAATGTATTTAGTTACAAATGTTTCGAAGGAAAGCTTGATTCGAACAAAAAATATATGCGCTTTACTTTCGATCCGTTTTTAGCTATCATTGAAATTATTAGCAAAGACAATTTCCAATGATGAGCGCGCCATCGTCTGTATATGTGTGTTTTCGCGAGAACCGCGAAAAATCTATCTTTGATAATATAATTACCGGATGCGCATAATTAACATGTCTGGGGCACTTTGGTTCGTTTGGTATTTTCAGTTTTTTTTCTTCTTTTTTTTTCGGAATAAAGTCTCTCGTAGCAGCAAACGAGCTTGCGCCAGAGAAGTGTTTACTGACAGCTGCTAATTCGTCGTCCTGCTTCGGGGCGCGCGCGGCCGACGTTCTCGCGACGCGACGTTACGAATGAATAAATTATCATTTTCTGGGTTACCGTTGCGCGACGATCATATCTTCGTTCCATATACAATCTCGTCTCGTTTTTTCCCTTTCTTTCTTCTTTTCAATTAGTCCGCGCGCGACGCTGGATAGCGTTTCGTGATTTGGTTTTCTTCAATTTATAAGGGTCTGGCGTCGGACTCGAGTTTTTGTTGCGCTAAATCGAGTTAAGGGTATGTATATGCAGGATCGGTAAACATTTCTTGACTTGCATAAATATAAGGTAAATTAAAAACCATCGCAATTATACGAGGCTAAAATTGTTATAAGTATTAGCACATCTGAGACAACATAAGCAGGTGGGTGTCTTGATTGTTCGAATGAATATAACTCGTAGAATTGGAAAACCGATAATATGGTCGTGACGCGTATCTAATTCTCTCGTGAAAAAATTATGCGAATTTGTTTTATTCAGGCTGTGATTTAATGCGAACGTGTTAAATTGATAAATCATGTAAAATACTCATGTACATGTCAATATGGTCATTTTAAGATTTACAGAGATTATAATGCAAAAAACTGTATTGTCTGATATAACATCAAGTTTAAATTAAAACAAGTGGTATTTTGGGGTATAGTTCTATTTCTCAGATAAAGTCATTGGATTTTATTGAAATATGAAGGTTGTTTTTACATAGTGAGATAGTGTTACACAATAGAAACCGATAATGTCATAATAAATTTAAATTTGACCGTAAAATATAATTTAACCATAAAATTGATACATTATTATTAAGTCGTAATGCGTGAGTGATGTGCCATAGCCACGTGGGCTCTGAGATTTTTTTTATATCCAAATATTTTTCCACACACCTCGCATGTGTGATTGATTTTATTATGTACAGCATCGACGTGGATTTTCAGACTACGCCTTCGTGTAAACGTCTTACCACAAGTATGACATGGGTGATTGATACCATTGTGCGCCGTATCGATGTGTCGTTTGAGATTGCCTTTTAGTGAAAATGACTTTCCGCAAATATCACATGCACATTTGATACCATAGTGCACGGTATCAATGTGCTTTTTGAGACTACCCTTTTCTATAAATTTATTTCCGCAAATATCACATGCATGTTTGACACCATTGTGCATCGCATCCATGTGGACTTGTAGATAGCTCTTCCTTGCGAACTTATTTCCGCATATATTACATGCATTTGTGTTGACACCATTGTGCTTCGCATCAATGTGATTTTTTAGATAACTCTTTGATGAAAATTTCTTTCCGCACGTGCCACATGCGTGGGTGATATTATTATGCATCGCGTCAATGTGTTTTTTGACATTACTCTTATCTGAGAACTTCTTTCCGCAAATATCACATGCATGTGTGACACCATTGTGCTTCGCATCAATGTGCTTTTTGAGATTACTCTTATTTGTAAATTTATATCCGCAAATATCACATGCATGTTTGACACCATTGTGAATCGCATCCATATGCATTTTGAGATTACTCTTTGACGAAAATTTCTTTCCGCACGTGCCACATGCATGTTTGACACCATTGTGTATTGTATAGAGGTGGTTTTTCAGATTATTTTTTCGTGAGAATGACTTTTGACTTATACCGCATGAAAGTTTACAATTGTGCAACGCTTTCACGTGCCTTTTGAGATGTTGCGGTCGAGAAAATTTCTTTCCGTACACATCACATGCATGTCCTACGTCATTATGCTCATTACTCACGTGAATTTGGAGAGATTTTTTTTGGCAGATTGTTTTTTGGCACATATCGCATACATGTGTGACACCGTCGATATGAGTTTTGAATCTACTCTTGTTTGTGAATTTTTTTCTGCAAATATCACACTCGTATGTGACACTGCTATTCACTTTATCGTTATATTCTTCGTTATTATCTTTTTTCGCTGTCTCTGCCGTTTCCACTTTGATTGTGTTTTTAATCTTATAATCAGCGTTATATTTTTGAGAATCACCTTCAATTTTCTTAATTACCAAAAAATTCATTTCAGGCTTCATGTCCACACACTCTAATTCAACTTTGATCTCGTCAAGCTCAGTTTTTTGATTTTCGTCATATTCTCGAAGCGTTTGGGCCTGAAATAATATTGAAGTTACGTGGAATTTTTCGTCACAAGTGTTGACTATAACAGTCGGATATAATCGTCAACACTTACTGAATTTTCTGGGAAAAATTTTGAAATTTGAAAGTTCTTAACATCGGGTGAGTTTTCAGTAATTCCATCATTTTCAATCAGTGACACATCACAAGGTTCGTCTTTCACTCTGAAATAACCCTCATATAGGATTTATTACTAATGTACGTTTTTTATATTCTTTTATTTCCATTAAAATAAAAATTACCTGACGACGGAATTAAATAAATCACTGGATTCCATCTTTCAAACTTGGTATATTATTAACGACTAATCTATGTGTATAAAGCCAAACGTCAAACCAGCTTACTCAAACGAAACAATATTTACAAATTAGAAGTCGCGATACAAATATTCAAACGAGGCAATTTGTAAACAATGTATAACTTTGTCATTACACGTTAATGAATAAATGATATTATTGATCTGCTTAATAAATCATTTTTCTATGAATAATAATTCAACACAAATAATTTAAAAAGAAAATTCGGTGGCACAAGAAACGCGCGAAAAAAGAGCTAGTTATGTAAAATACTAAATAATTTATGCAGATGTGAATAAACTATTATAAAAGTCCTTGTGTCGTTGAAAAAATGTCATTTTTTGTACGAGGTTCTTTATTTGACTCTTTACTATAATTCCAACCCTCTTTAGCGATAGAATAAATATAACAAGTAATGTTTTCGAAAGTATTTTGAACCCAAGTCATTCGTCATCGAGAAAAAAAAAGGAAACTCGTATACCTCGTCCGGATTTTTCACCAACAACCTTCGACTTCGACAACAACAACAACGAAACAGTACAGATAGCAGTAAAAACTGTGTCGAAATTCGCATCTCAAACTCGAGAATGTAGTATTTTGTCGAGCAAAATTTTGGGCGAGAAACCCTTACAACGCGACATCGCGGGCCCGTATAAGCTTCGCATGTTTGCTCATTGATTATTAACGCGGCGCACGGCACGCGTGTATGCGCGCTCGACCGAGAAAGATGTGCGGATATACTTATCCGACGAGTACACACACACACATTCGGAGCAAAGTTGTGGTGGTAGTAGTAATGCGCCAGCCAGTCGCAGGTATATATCACACGATAACGTGCGCTATATCCTACTCGATAGAGAGAGAGTTCGAACGGGCGGACGAGTGTGTCGAACACGAATTCACACTTCGATCGTATATGGCGAATATCCTACATAGCCGTCGCCGCGCCCTCGAAATTTAACCCTTATATACCGTCTCTGCATTGTACACGCGCGATTTTCAACTTCGTATAGCTGTAGTAGCGACAATTTCGGGATACGGTCCAGCTAAATTGCGGACGTTTCTCGTGCTCTGCTGCTGCTGTTGCAGGGAGTATACAGCCCATTTCCATAAATGTCCCTCCGCTACGCTTTTTGCGCTACTACCTCTGGCTGCTGCTGCTATTTAACGCTCTGTGAACCGACAAAACTGTGCATCGGCTTTGATCACGTGTACGTGTATGCGTTCTCCACGTTCGCGTTCGTTTTGTACGTATATCGTATTATTATTATAACATATTCCTTTCGGGGGGGTCGCAATTCTATATATATATGCGCGTATATATTGTCAAAACGCATTTTACTAACCGCAAATGACACTTTTACTCGGGCACCAGTATCCGAACGTCCAAACATCGCCCCACCACCTTAACAAATGAAATATATTATAATGCACAAGTGGCCTATACTTAAACGCCATTATATAACAAACGTACGCATCTATCGCTGTTATTAAGTACTTACAACCTCAAATTTTCTACCCTCTGGCTCTTCAATACATGCGTGTTATTTTCTTTTTCCTTCTTTTTTTTTTATTTACAGCTGACGTTGCCGTCTGTTTTTTATTTTCGTTTTTTTACGCCTGCAATATCGAGTCGCTATTATTCAAATAAAGCGTATCGCGATACGGCGATTATGTATATTTTGATTGCAAAAATTACGAGTTGATATAGCATTATCCGATTTTAGAAAGTTGAGTCAAATGACTAGTTGTAAAAAGTGTAAATCTGAAAATGTACTTCGAATTTGGAACGACTTATTACTTGAAACATGACCCCAATAGAAATTTTATTTCATGGCTAGTTTTTGTCCAAAGAAAAAGTTTGCCTTAATTGATAATTTGCTCTTCACGAAGTCAATAGATTCTATACTTTGTATTGAAATCGTGCGCTTTTCTACAATTATTTGTCTTTGCCTCTTGCAGATAAAGGTACTTGCCATCTAGTGGTGGAGATTTTAAATGGTATTATTAATCCATTATTAATTTCGAGCATTTCAATCAGCTTGAGACAATTAATGAATTGTTTCTTGTGTACGAAAAAATACCGAAGCTCATCATAAGCATCGATGAGCTATCCTGGTAATTCTCGAGATCTGTAAGGTTACTATTTTCACTTGTCAAACGTAATAAATGATCGAAATCGCCTGCTTGATAGAAACGACGAACATTGGTTAGCTAGTTTCTGTCCAAAGAAAAAGTTTTTTGACGTACAAGAGACAGTAGAGCTGGATACATTTTAACCAGCAGTTTAACGTTTTCCTGAACATTTTTTTGAACTTATAATACTCAAAAAAATGATTCTAATCATTAATATTGAAAAAAAAAATTTTTTTAGACTTATATAATTATTTTGACTTTTCCACTTGCAGATTTATAGACAAAGGTACTCGCCATCTGGCGGCGAAGGTTTAAAATGGTATAATCATCTTCAAACTAGTTCAAAAACTGGTACTACTGTATTTCAAAATGCTTCGTTCTTGTACCTGCACTGCACGACAAAAAAGTTATTGTTGCAATAATGGACAAGGACTATAAAGCCGCGCCGTGACAGTCTGCATCGTCGCACAGCAGCAGTAGCAGCGCGGGCAAGTTTGGTGCTTTTCTTATCATTATTATTGCAGGAGAATAACACGCCTCTTCGGCACGGCTAAAGGGAATTTATAAAATTTTCCAATGTAATATTCCGATTCTGAACGGCTCGAGAGAGAGAGCCTCGTCTACATTTTTTTCCCCATCTTCTTCTTCTTTTTCTTCCTCGCGCCTTTATCTACTTTGTTGCTGCTGCTGCACTGAGAAAATGCAGTTTGTCAGTAGGCGGGGCAAAAAGTGGGACGAAGAAAAAGGCAATAGAAGACGAGGAAAAAGGAGCGAATGATAAATTATGCGTGCAATTTTATAAGCTTATGCTTGCTACTTTAACTCGCTGCTTCGAGCGCGTTTTAATACAATATAACGCTAGCTTCTCTGCCCCGTATAGAATGTGCGCAATTCTCTCAAAATCATGATTTACGCGCGCGGAAAGTTTGAGTTATCGCGAAAAAATTTTATTTCGTTCGCTCGAAAGTGTTTTTTTTTCATTAACAAAACGCAAGTGGTTGAAATCGCATTTCCAAAATGATAAAATTTGAAAATGCGTAATGTAATCAAATCAACTCTTCGTGTTTCAAGAAATCATTTATGACGTATACATAGACTTAAAGATAATTATCAGTATTGAAAATTTCAACGAGTGTATTGAACTTGAATTTATTCTACACGATGAGTTTCAATTAATTTTATTATTTATGAGATAATTTTTATTCACGCGCATCCTGTGAATAATAATTAAATATAATCACGCATTATTTGATTCCATCAATAATTCATGAATTAAGTTAATAGTTAAGTTCAGACAATAATACGAAGTAAAATAACGCCTGAAAGATAAGATAAAAATCCACAAACTACTCCAGTAATCTAATTCGCTAATCGAAAAAAAAACCTCGGCGTACTCTCGATCGGAATTATATTGTTGAAAAAGGCCATGATTTTGCGTATACACGGTAGGCTTTCGGCAGGAATAGGACTACATTCCGATTGGCCCGTACTTTGAGGCAAACCCCGCCAATCAGACCGCCTCTCTCTTTTTCATTTGTGCTCTTTCTCTCTCGCTCTTCGTGCACGCACACGCACACACGCACTAGCGTAGACATTCGTGATACGCACGCACAGCTCGACTACTAACACGCGTACATTTGTGTTTATGTACGTGTGTCGTTCTCTTACTCGCTCGCAGCTCGCTCTCCTCTTTCTCTCTCTCACTCCCTTCTTTTATATCGATCGACGCCTGCTGCACGGTGTATATACGGTGGTAGTACAGTGTGGCAAAGCGAAACGCGCCATGCTCGGAGCTGTGCGTAGCCGCTTTGCATTATTGTTTTGCATTCGAGCTTCTGCAACATTTAATAACTCGAACTTGCTCCGAAAAATGTGCAAACTCTCGGGATTTTCAATTTTTAAAACTTGATTCGATTCAAATGTATAAAAAAAACTATCTGCCTTTTTGAGTTTTCAGAGAGAAGTGTCTAAAAATTAGTTTTTAAATATTCAAACTTTTGATTGCACTCGCACACGTTCTCGAGGAAGTTTTACGATTTCGGGCCCTCTCGGCGTATAGTAATATCTCTTCGCGCACCCGGTGCGAAACTTTTGTCTCGAGGATTAACTCTTCCACCCGAGGAGCTCCTGCCTATCGTTAAGTCACGTGTCGTCGTCATCATCATCATCATCATTTTTTCACTCCCCGAGTAATAATCATTAAAATGTATGCGCGATATTATACGCGCGTACAACCCCGGAGATAATTGCCTCGTTTTCTATATACACGAAGCGAGCGAGAGACTATATACGCGTTGCGGCGTATAGCACACGCGGTACCTAAAATATACGTATAATGTATAGAGGAGCCGCGTGGCGGCGGGTGGGTATAGTAGTAGTAGTAGCTATGTACAGTAAATGAGAGGCAAGGAACCTGCCGAGGCACATCCACCTGCCGACGCTCGCGACGCCATGATACTCTCACTCGAAGGGTTGGGCCAAAAAGCATCAAGACGCAATTAGGAGCGCGGGTGGCATCATCTTTACTGTCGGTCACGATGACACGGCAATTTCGTCGGCGGTGGCGGCCTTTTTTATGGACCTTCTGCCTCTCCGCAGCAAAGCTAAGCAGTAGTAGTAGTAGTATTATATGAGCGCAGCCAACTTTTTGTTTTTTTATATCAAGAGGGCGGAGTACCGTGTTTTATGATCTACGTGACTTTAGGGGCTGGCTTGGCAGGCAGTCCAGGCGCAGGCAAGGAAAATTTTCTACCTCGCGGCGTATATATATACAGTCGGGGAGAGAGATTAATTTATTTGATCGAGGCTGAGCTTTGACTGCGAAGAAAAAAAAAACAAGCAAGTAGCGTAGTTGTAAGTTTCAATTAAATA